TGTGTGTAGGTAGAAGGAATCGTTTGCTAGAACACTACACCCAAAGAGAGACATTGGTCTTTCTACTCATAAGCACCAATCCTTATTCAACAGATGCTTCCAAACTCTAAATCAATAATAATCCTCGGTTTCTATACAGCACTTTTCACATCCAAGCACTTCACAAGATTTACCTTGAATTGTAGTGACTGAATTTGTAGGTAAACATGTCAGCTAATTTGTTTGTAGGACATTGCTGTGAACGGCCATGATATGAATGACCAATTTTACCCGGGGGATTGTTGGTCAGGACGCTGGCAGAAACTCCTTTTTTTTAAATTGTACCATGGGATCTTTAACATCAATTCCATGCACTGACAATTTTTCTTGGTTAAAATTGGTCAGTGATTTGCATCATGCTGTTTTGTATCACTCTGATGTGAATTTCTGACTTCACAGCATATATCTGGATCAACCCCAGATCTAGGGATTCGTCTTTTGATGTGGAACAGAGCTAATTGCTTCATGCTGCTTTATACTACTAGGTTCCTTGGAGAGTATGAGGAATAAATTTGGCGTTATGTTATAAATTAGGTTGAGAGCCAACAGAATTAAAATTGGCCACCAAACTTCCTCTTGGGCTTATTTTCCTCCTTGTGATATTTTTCCTTTTGGTGAGACTACTGGATCCACAAGAGATTAACCCAGAAGTCAAGAACATCTCTATTCCTTTCAATACCATTCAATGGTCAACCAGTGCACAAACAGTTCTCCAGTCACATTGTCTTGCTATACCAAAAGTTTCAGATAATAGACAACTGAGGTCAAATGAAATACGACAGTTTTACAGGTAAACAATCTCAGGATTTAAGTCGAACAAGAGCACAAAATGAAATGCTATATTTAATCATACCAATTCAGTTTCAATCTATTTCCTGTCCAAAAATCATAGAACATTAAAGAGGTAAGTTATAATTCCCTCATAATGTTGTTTTCAGCACTACATATTAAATCAAAACTAATTTAAGAATAATCCATAAAAATTTGCTTACGGAACTTAAACTTTACAGTAAAATCCTGCGAAGCACTTGGAGATAATTCAACGAGTTGAGCACTGTTGCAAATCTCAATTTTGTTTCTGCAAAACACAGAATGATACTTACCTCCTGTTCAATGTCAAATTACAAACACAGTCACTCAACTTCACAGTAAAATCCTGTAAAGCACTTTGAGATATTTCGACGACCTATGGCTCTATATCAGATGCAAGGATTATTATATTATACCTCGAGTTCAATGTCAAATTAAGGTCAAATTATTTCCCGTATGGATTGCACCTTTATAAACATTAAAAGCATTATGTTAAAAATGACAGTAAAGTTGGTTGTGTATCACATGCTCCTGAATAATCCATTTGAAAATTGATCTGAGAAACTGTTTTAATAATAATCAAAATCCTTGCATTTTAGTGCCTTATCGTGTTGTTCAGACTTCTCAAAGCGCTTCACAGAATATACTATAAAGTGAATTGACTATATTTTGTGGGCCAAACACACCAGCCAATTGCACACAGTAGTATTTCACAAACAGTCATGGATTGAATGACCACATTTTTTTAAAAAGAGATTATGACCCCCTGAAAGCAATTGCCAATTGACTAAGAACTGGGTTCCTACTTACTGCTAGGAAAACAGAAGCGTGTGGAGTAAAGAAACTTTCTAACGTTTTGCCCTGCTCAAGAATTGAACCTAGCTCCACTCACTTTCGAGGCTTTGAAATGAATAAGTTTAATCTCGTTCATTCTCTTGAATCCATCTTCCCTAAAAACAATTCTGTTTCACGGATTCTGTAATACTGCCACATGTTGCAAAAACAAAAAAACATTTTGACTTGAACTACTGCACGTCTCATTTGACCGTAAACCCAGTCAAAGAGGAAGATCTTCAGGCACGACCTAAAGATGGGGTAAGAGCAAGGCGAATGGTTTTATAAATGACAGAATGAGAAATTGTCACTTGGACCCAAATATAGGGTGAATCAAAAGTCCTTATTCATACCTCTATCTGAGATGTTCAAATTCTATAGCACGTAGACCTTTACACATATAAACTCGGTGACAAAAACTTTCACTGACACAATATAAGGCATTTCCTGTAATAACTGCACACACTATGAACTTCTAATTCACCCTGTATATTCAAAAAATGGTATAAAGATTCTGGAGAAGGTTGAGCTGAAACTGGGTACAAAAGGTTTAAAAAATACATTATATAAACTTTAAAACTAAATGGACTGCAACAGATCTCTGGTTTTGTATATGCATGGAGTCCTGTAGCTCAGTGGTTAAAACAATCGCCTCGCAAGCGAGAAACCTGGGTTCAATTCCTGGCAGGGAGAAATGTTGGGCAAGTTTGATTACACACACCTCTGTTTACCTTGCAGTAAGTAGGAACCTGGTTGTTAGTCGATTGTCGGATCGCTTTTCCAGGGGAATAATTCCTTCAAAAAAATAGTCACTTAATCCACAACTGTTAATGGGACATTGCTGTGCGCAATTCGCTGCTGCATTTCGCCTACAAAATATACTGTCATTCACTTTACAGTATATTCTGTGAAGTGCTTTGAGGCATCTCGAAAACTTGATAAGGCGCTATATAATAATCCCTCCAAAACCAAAAATAATAATAAATTCGTCATTTTCAATCTACGACTGTTTGTGGGACATTGCTGTGCGTAATTGGCTGCTGCGTTCGCCCACAAATATACAGTCAATTCACTTTACAGTGTGTTCTGTGAAGTGCTTTGGGACGTCCTCCTGACGTGAAAAGCGCTATATCAAATGCAAGGATTATTATTATTATTATTATATCAAATGCAAGGATTATTGTTATTATTTTGGGGGGCACAATACCCAGGGAAGGTTTGGTAGGATGAGCACCAACCTGTAGGGGGGACTTGTCCCAGTAATGCTGTGATATGTCATCAACTGTCAAGCACCACCTTTACAAATCTAACTATTAAAAGGACACAAATTAGTTTAAATAACTGCATCAGTTCATCTGATAGGCAAACTCCAGCTTTGGCCTGAGGCAATATATTTGCAAACCTGTTATGAAACTACTTTGATTGGAGAGCTGTGGTGTAATAAACCTTATATATGATATAGCACTTTATCATATTGTGGAGACATCTCAAAGCACTTCTCATGATATACTGCAATGTGATCAATTATTTTGTGGGTGAAATGCAGCAATCAATTTTCATGTAGCAATGTCCCACAAACAGCCACGATTGAGTAACCAGTTTTTTTTTGGGTGAGTGGGGTGGAAAGAGAAATTTGTTGGCCAGGTCACTGGGAGAAACTTGCAACTTTTCATGCCACAGTAAAGTTTATAAGAATAATCCTTGCATTTGATATAGCGCCTTATCACATCTTCGAGACATCTCAAAGTGCTTCACAGAATATACTGTAAAGTGAATTGACTATTTTGTGGGGAATAACTATATTGACTATTATTAAGCACCCGCAGATCTTTCTCTGGGAAGCCTAGAAGTATGGACCAAAACAACAAGAAGATTTCATTTATAGAGCGCCTTTCACGTCGGGAGGACGTCCCAAGGCGCTGGACAGTTCACTGAAATTAGACAGGAAGTCAGCAAAGCAGCCCAATTTCACATTTTCTTACGTTTCCCCATCTTGCTGAAGGCAACTGCTTTACACAGACATTGTGAACACTAGCTGACATTGGCATCTCAAATGTTTAAATGATTAATAAAAGATGGCAGTGCTGCATTTCTGAATTAAGTATTTTTTTGAAAATGACAATTTTACAGCCATTGTGAAATGACAACAATTTTACCTCAAACCAGAATTGATACATTTCACACTGAACTCCTCTGCTTGCCTATTGCATCTAAATAAAATACCAGTTTCAAGTGAATTAACCATTGAAATATCTCTTTTAGAAGGCAGATGGATATTTTACAGAACTAGTTTGTAGTCTAATGGTCCCACCATTGTAGGTGATGGACACAACTATTAATAAATTGTGACAAAGCCAAATCCATAGCCTCCAAGCTCGAGGCCATGACAACTCACTGATCAATATACCAATGAAAATAGAACACTTCAAACAGTGAATATTAAAGAAATGCAGATGATTTATATACTGATGTGATTCACATGATTAATTGGGATAACTAACAAATAAGTTACTGCAGGTGAAGCTGTCCAAAATAATAAATCTTAAAAATATAATAACTCAAGCTCCATTTGAAAGTTGTTTTGGGAATCTCTTCACTTCTAAAACCCTAATTGAAGTGCAATCAATTCTACTCAATAGAGCTTGGTTTGTCAATGAAGTGGAACTTGGTACACTACCAATCTCAGTGCAAGTTTAACTTGGGAGTAAATACAGAAGTGGATGGGAGTACTACACTCACTTATGCCAACATCCTATGAAGAAGCATGGCCCAACTGGAGAATGATATACATGTAGGACAAGGCCTTGACTAACATTACTGAAGCAAAGGTCATGAACTCAGAGCAACTTGTACATCTCTACAATTTGGTATATTGGCCAGTGTGTTCATTGAAAGTTCTGTTAAAGCTAAGTTACTCTGCACGCCTCAGTTCACCTAGCAGCAAGTAGGAACCTAGTTACTAGGTGATTGGCAGATCGCTTGCCAGGAATAATAATCCCGCCTAAATATAATTAAATCCACAACTGTCTGTGAGACACTGCTGCGCACAATTGGCTGCTGTGGTCTGCTCACAAAATAGTCAATCGACTTTTCAGTATATCCTGTGACACTATTTGAAATGTCTCAACAATGTGTTAACCCAAATGCAAGGATTATTATTAATATGAATCTGACCATACTAAGATTATTGTCCCATCTTAAATTATGTATTTCTATCTTAAAGGAATAACCTTTAATGCATTTGCACATGCAACTACTGAATGTTGTGCAAATAGTCTAGATGCAGTATTCTTGGAAAAATAGATGCCAACTCAAAATTTGTAGAAAGCTTTTATTTCAAGTACAAAAACATTCCATCACTGTGGACTACAGTACTATAAAAGCCAGTTACTGGAATCCAAAGCTCCAGAAGTGGAACCCAACAAATGATTAAATTTTGAAAATGTAGTCCAACTCACTGCATACAGTTAATATAAGGCCCTTAAGTTGCTTTTGGTCTAGGTTTAATGGGATGGAACTTCTGGTGCAATCATTCAAATATTTGCAAATTAATACAGAGGTCACAAGCTTATGGCAGATGAAGAAAGGCAGATAAATATTCCACTAACCACCTTCCTAAAAACTAGTCATAGGCTAGGATAATGATCGCTTCTAATCCAGTAGCCTTGATCTGTAACAAATATTACCAATTAGTTTAGAGATGCTCCAGGGTTGAGGCAGTAGGACCTTCTTTGCATCCAACCATTTTTGGACCTGAGATGGGAGTGACTGATGTCTACATTCAGTGACAAAATTGAACACAGTAAGCCTCCTATTCCTGACCTACTTTAATAGTGATCTATGTGTCCTGTGATTAGTCAGACAGAATAGTTAGGCAAATTGGAAAAACTGGAACATAACCAATGTGAACGCCCAGTGATCAAAGCTGTTATCAGCATTGTAATAAGATACCAAGACCTGATTGGAAACAATGATGTGTCACAGAAATAGATACCAAAACCAGACAGACAAGATAAAATGTGTACAAATGGAAGGGAAAAAAATGTGAAATTAAAGCACCTTGCAGAATATAGCAATCCAGAATAGGCTGGAAACCATTTTGAACCATTTTGTGAGTAATGATCACTACAATACAGAAATGGAGAAACATTGAAACGGTCCCAGATAATCTTACACTGCACTATCAGAAACATCCAGTATCTGATCAAGTAGGATCTGGAGATCTTAAGATATTGCATTTAGGCCATTCAATAAGTTAACCTGGTAGGATGTATAAAGTGCTTAGTAGATACTGTATTCACATTGTGAAAATAAGGCTAGTATCATTGCATCAATTTGGTCTTTTCACTTAGACCACTATACTCTTCTTCCTCAGACTCGCTGTTAGTCTCCTCCTCTAGATGATTCACATTGTTTGCCTGAAGACAAATGAAAGAAATGTTGCAGTTATATGGCATAAAGGGCATCTTCACTGCTCCCATATTCATCTTGCTGTATACTGAACCACAAAGAAGCAGCTGCTTGCCTACGTATTTGTTTGAGACTATTGGAGAATGGAAGTTATGGAATGCATTAGCTTTCCCTCACTCCACCACCTCAGAAGTGAAAGTTGTTCCAAGTGATCTGTAGTAGGTTTGATACTTACAGAAGTTTCTGTAATGTCAACCATATAAACACAGAAATTTACAGCACAGGCCATTTGTGTCATATCTGTTCAACATTGTGGCAATCTTCAGTTCTCAACATTACACTGAAAAGCAATAAGATGAACCCACACACACACCATTCTTCCCCTGCCATGGTATAAATATAGTTTACCGAAGAGGCTTCTGCTCCACAAAAAATACAACTGTCTTTGTGTACCAGAGTAAAGATAAAAAGCCCAGGATAAGCAGTTAGGCTCTTGTACCTTACACCTTCAGTCGTACAGTGTTGTGGGCCTGCATGAAATTGGGGGAGGGACGCATACACACACCATTTTTACATTCCAAGTTCATTCAAGAGGGGGCACTTGACTAAAATTGGTTTGGCATTTTAACTACACGATAGTTATGGGGAGTAAAGTCATTTCATTTAATTGCAGCAAGAGAGTTACCTCTGCAAGATGGCAATATGCAACACTGTCCAGGTCAGAGAGTCTTTCTGGAATAGGCTTGTTCAGGGATTCTGGCAAGAGCAGACAAATTCCTCCTGCTAATATTCCTGCAACTCCAAACACCAGGAATGGCAATGACTGATGAACATTTCTCTGTAGGAAATGAAACAAGACAAATTGTGGCACAATGAGTTAGACCCGCAAATCACCACTTTTATCCCTATCTAGCAATTTGGGCAATAAGACATTGGACAAAGTCTTAAAGAACATAAGAAATACAAGACAAAAAAAGACCAAGGTCCATCTAGTTGGCCTTCCAGGCAGTTGAATGGACCTATATCCCAAACTACCTATGTACTATATCCCATAATGTTATTTCCTAAAATAAAACTATCTAATCTGTGTTTGTACAAATCAACACTTCCTGCTTCAACTGTCTCCATAAGGAGCCTGTTCCACAGGTTCACTATTCGCTCACTGAAATAGTGTTTGCGTAGATTTGTTCTGAATTTACCCCCCTTCAATTGCAGACTGTGTCCTCTGGTTTTACTGTTCTAGACAAGTTGAAACAGCCTGTCATGATCTATATTGGCTAGCCCCTTTAGAATCTTACAAGACAGCAATCAGGTTGCCTCTCAATTTTCTCTCTTCCAGCATGAACAATTTACTTATTCACTCCTCATAGTCCAGTCTTCCATTCTCTCAATCATTTGTTGCCTTGCATCTTCTCAATTTCTCCAACATCCTTTTTGTTCTGCGGTGACCAGAACTGTACACAGTGCACCACGTATGGTCTCACCCAAAACATTATACAGTTCCAGGATTACCCCATTATTTCAGCTTCCTATTGATCTTTAGATGCATCCCAACATCTGGTCTGCTTTACTCACTGCCACAGAGCATTGTTGGGAAAGCTTCAATTTATTGTCAATCAGGACCCCCCAGGTCCTTTTCATTTTCCACACATTTTCTTTCCGTTCAAATAATAATTAAAGGTCCAGTTGGAAGGGGCAGAATGAAAGGCAGAAATGCTCCAAACCCTTGCTCAGAGAAGTTCAATCATCCCTGAATTTAATTGATTTCTGATGCCATCACTTCAAAAGCTTGCCGACTATAATAACTTAACCACTGAAATAGATGTAGTTTGTTTAAAAAGTTTAAAATTTTTAAAAAAAATTTGAATAAAAAGCTCTGCATGCTCGATAAATAGAAAATATAGGAGCACAGAAATACAGCTGACAGATGCAAACAAGTAATAATTCAATAAGAACAAGTTTGCCCTAATCTCTCCCAACACTTGGTGTTAAAACATGACTGTTACTGCTGTCTAAACTATTTTACAATTAAATGCCAACACAAGATACTTGAGACTAAATTTTAAAGGACATTTCCCCCCTCTCAATGCAGGAACCTGCAGCAGATGTTACAGTTCAGGCAAGCCTACTCTAACAGCCCCATCTAGGGTGGAGGATTAGTATTGTGCTAGTTTCTATTTTGGTTCTAAATTGCTTCAAATAGTATTTTCATGGCAACATTAACCATACACTAACCAGTGAAGGGATGAAGGGTGCAAGGATTCCTCCAATTCGAGAAGACATGGAACATATACCCATTCCAACATTCCTGTAGGAGGAGAACAGCCAATTTAATTCTGAAAATTGAATTCAACAGCAAAACATCCTTCTAGAACATGTGAGACAGGCACCAAATTTGTATATTCAAAAAAAACTGCTTCCATCAGATTTCCATAACAGGTGTCTTTTTAGAAGTGTTTAATATGAGGTTCCAAGTAAAAAGGAAAACAAATTAGTTATGAAGGATGGTGGTAATTGGTCCCTACAACTTTGACATTAAATCTTGGTGAGGGCTTAAACTCTAATCATGTTCATGCTCAATTTCAGGGAGCAAGTCTCATTGATACACAAATCATTCAAACACCAGAGAAGATCAACTACAGCTCATGAATTCACGTGCAAAATCACTTTGCAAAGCATACATGTACTCATTAAAACATAGCACAAAGTGAGCTTTGGCCTTTCAACTGTAAAGCACCTAAACTTTCTGCCTCTGCCTCACCCTCGCCACCTTCAAATTCCACTAAAGACCTTCCTTTTTGATTGTGCTTTCGGTCACCTCCCCCGGTTCATTGTCAGACTCCGCCACTCTGAAGCTACCCCGCGTGAAGGGCACTATATAAATGTAAGTTGTTGTAACCTTCCACTGACGTATAAATAATTGAATAAAATGACAGATCAATCTGCGTCAACTTGTGAAGCATGTACCTGGACACTTTAATCAGTAAACAGAAGACCCATGTGACTAGTTTGCATCTTAGGCTAACCCTCCCAACAGTTAGTATTAGATTTGTTCAGCTGGAAGCATAAAACAGTCTTCAGCTGCAGATACATTTGATGTCAATGTATACTACCCCTTTAAAAATGTCCATCATCACTCCTATCCTCCAGGCGCCTCCTCACCTCAGGCGCTGACAGCATCACCATCCACGGTTGCACACTCCACCTTACTAAGCCAGTCCGGAACCTTGGTGTCTTGTTTGACCCTCAACTATCCTTTCAACCCCACATCCGTGTCATGACCCCCTCGGTCTTCCCCCACCTCTGCAACATTGCCCGGCTCTTCCACTGTCTCACACTGCAGGCCGCCAAAACCCTTGTACACGTATTTATAACATCGAGGCTCGACTGTGCAAACTCACTGCTCGTCAGCCTCCCCAACTTCTCCCTCCATAGACTGCAGATCATCCAGAACTCTGCAGCCCGTGTCCTCTCCGGCACAAGGCTCTGTGACCCTATCAGTCCAATCTTTGCCCGACTCCACCAACTTCCCATCACACAGAGGATACAGTTCAAGATTCCTGTCCTCACATTCAAAGCCCTCCATGACTTTGCTCTCCTAACCTCAGCGACCTCCTAACCCCCTACCGTCCTGCCTGCTTCCTCCGCTCAGCAGGTTCCAACCGGTTTTATGTCCCCCACCTCACTCACCCCACCATTGGCGGCCAGGCCTTTTGCCACTGCCCCCACCTTCTGGAACTCCATCCTGCAGTCCCTCCGCCTCGCCCCCTCCCTTGCCTCCTTCAAGACCCATCTGAACACCCTCCTCTTTGACTGCTTTCGATTATCCTGCTTTTCCCCCTGCCCTCCACCCTCCTCAATCCTGACCCCCAGCTCGGGTCCGAAACACTGACTGTCCAGCACCTTGGGACATCTTCAACGTGAAAGGTACTATACAAATGTAATTTTGTTGTTGTAAAGGCATCAAGAGTGTGCCGTTAAGGGTCACTGCTTCTGATCTCTGGTATAATATTATCTAAAGATAAAATGTGAAGTGTTAACTCTTCCACATAAAATCTGATGCCAAAGTTCAACTTTCTGAGCAAAATAATGCATAGAACTGGAAAGAACATTGGCAATGTAATCCAATGCGGGGGGGGGGGGGGAAGATTCAAAACATCATACTATTAAATTTAGTTCTACCTAGTATTCCAATTTCCTGCCCAATGTTACTTCCTGAGTAGTCTATGCTGCATACTGAATCACTCCCGGATGAGAAAGAATTAGTTTATTTGTTGAAAAAGTTTAAACAAATAAGTTGCCTTTTGGCCATCCTGCTACCTTGGTTATGCTTGTATTATTAACTTGAGCAACATTTGTTATTTCCTGCTCAACCTCTCTTGGCTGAATTTGGACAAAGACATTTTCAATACATAATTTCAGCTTCACTTACCTGACAGTGGTGGGATACAGCTCAGAGGAATAGATATAGACAATATTAAATGCTGCACTGATTGCCAGTTTACCGAGAAATGAAAGCGACTGATTGTTCACTACTGTGAAAATTCCAGTGGCTGAAACAGAAGAAACACATTTTAATTGAAGAATTTCAAGTAGTTCCACTTGAAAATCAGTTTAGCAGAGAAAGAGTGATCAAGCTTACTCCTTTAATCTGCCCTGAGACTTCAAGTTTAGGCTTTGGAGTCAGATAGCTGGTTTTAGTAGACCAGAATTCCAGTGGGATACTAGGCGAGTGCTTCACTGGGGGCAAGTTGTGGGGCATGTGATTAAACTCCCAAATCATTCACAATTGCTACATTTATAATAAAGTAGTGCTGTTTCAGCCTACCTTAGAGCAAGGGGCCAGTGGGGGGGGGGGTGGGAAGAAGTAAATAAAAATACAAGTGCATCATTATTTTACTTGACCTGGGAGTGGAAAAGTGCATAGCTATTCAGAACAGAAGTCCTATTAATGAGCACAAGTGTAAAATAAAAGGGCAGAGGAAGGAGATTTACCGAAAGCTGGAGAGACCCCTTTTCTAGTTAACCATTTAGATCTTACCTCTCTTTTCTGGCAGAAAGATGTTAACTAGACAGGCTGCACCCCCTAGTATCAGGAATCCTGTTAGTGTGCGTCTGCGACCCAACCTGATGGATGCGGTAGAATAATTCAGTGTTTGTTTTAAAATGAAATATGGGCACTTCTAAATCTGATAATATTCATCAGAACAGTGGAAATTAAGAGCCTCTGCTCACCAATGCTGGATTTTAGTGCAGTGCTCCAAGATACTTTGAAGGACACTATATAAAATGCTGCGAAGAGCACTATATATATGCAAGTTGATTTAGTAACTAGAATGGAAAATTAAATTGCCCAACTCAAGCTCTATAGATTCTGGTTCCCATGTTTTCAGGTTAGAATGCTCCCTTGATGTTTGGTACTAGTCTGGTATCTCAAGTGGCTGAGAGTCTGCTATTATTGTGACCCTGTACAGGTTTGGCTTGGGAACCATCCAGACTAGAAAGCTTCCAGGGGATTGTCAGCTAGTGTTAGTATTTATGAAATGAAAAGTACTTACCGACTGCAGTTGATCAAAAAGAGACCGACTGGATGTGCGGGCAATTCAGCTAGTCCAGAAAGAGCTATGTTTAAATACCGGTCACCACCCAAGTCACCAGCGCCCAGAGTCAGACCATAATAAACAAGACTGCATATTAACCTAATGGGGAGGGGGAAGAAAAAAAGTCAATTGAAGAACAAATTGGGTGCAGTTATAATAGACTAGCTGAACCCGTTGCAGCTTCACTTGCAACCAAAGGATCCAATATGGAATGGAGATTGACACACAGACATTTCATCTTTGTCTATACTCATCTGCGAGGACTCCTGTGAGAGGACTCAGCGCTTTAAAAAATGTAATTTTGTTGTTGCCGCGACTTAGCTTCGTCCGTGTTCTTTATTTTGTTCCCGCCGCTTGGCTTCGTGCATGCTCTGTGATGCAGGATGCCACAGCGCCACGGTCAGCTGGTGTAACTGCAAGTGTGTGTGTGTACATACGTAGGTGCTGAGACACACGATGCCACAGCGCCACTTTAACTTGGCGGCCACCAGGTGTAACTGCAGCAAAAAACGCAAAACTGAAAATATCATGAATGATAGGAAATACTCATAAACAAATATGCCCAAGTCACTCCCAGATGCAAGACCTTTCCGATGAGGTGTAAACCATGTCTCTACGTCAATTAGTTATTGAGATCCTTCTTGAAGCAGACAGATATTGTCGTTTTATTAGTATAGATAGAAGATGCCCTTTTGGCCGTTTAACCTCATCCTTTCACTTGATGCAACCCTAACCATCCCACCTTCTTTCAATTACTCAATCCAACACAGCTACGATTATTCCAAGATGTTTCCCCACTCATGCCTTAAACAGGATAGGAATTGGGATTATGATCAATTAATATTTCAATAGTAATTCAACAGGGTAAAGTTGCACCTCAATTAATGAATTCTTTAAAGTACTGTATAATGCTTCAAACATACCATATATACATCATGATCAATGTGCGCCCCAAGAGGACTCTATGTCGAAAAAGGTCAAGGATACTGGCCGATTCATCACAATTCTGAACAGGTGGCTTCAGAGTTATTTTACACTCTGGTCGACCATTCTTCTTAGCAATACACTCAAGGATGTTCTCAGTTTCACATAGTCGTCCTTGAACATACAGCCAACGTGGAGATTCTGGGATAAATCTGAAAAATTTAAAGCTTGCTAAGTGAGCACACTAATTTACAATTCAAAACTAAACTTTAGCCAGTTAACTACCATCAGATTTAACTAAATGCACCAATCTGATTGATAACCGCATATTTATACAGTACTGCTTACTACATGCATTTAGTGGAATTGAATACTAGCATACCAATACGAACAAGTATATCTAGTTAAGTGCTCAACAGTGACAAGGACCTATCAAATGCAAGGCTTATTACTGCTCAGAACAAATGAGTAACGTGCCCCCCAAAAAGCAACAGCCTTTATAAAGACAAGAGAAATTCATTCAGCCTTGCAAGGACTCATCCGAAATATATCTACTTGATGAAGATAACACTGTGTCATGTTCCAGAGCTAATGCACTAGACTACCAATTATAATAGGCAAGTACTTTGTTAAACAAACAGCATCCAACCAGAAGCAATCAGAGCACTGTGGCACTAAGAAATTGATGCATTACAAAAACCCAATGCCCAATTACTACTTGAATCTGCATTCACACAATTTAAGTTATCAGCTCAAAATTGAGAGAATAGCAGCTTTGTTCAGGTGTTTTACACAGTGCAAATAATAGAACCAGCACCGAAGGTTTACACAATTGGTGACTAGTTAGATTTACTAATGCCAAAATGTCAGTCAATGACTGTTGAATTACACCAGAAAGATAAAAGTTCTTCTGAAAGGAGTGACAAAACAATAATAGTAAACCAGCAAAAATGGAGTCTATGCATAATAGGTTTAGGCTGGACATTGGGTAGTTTTTGCTGGAATGAATAAAGGTTAAAGGAACTTAACTAGATCAGAGGTCATGGTGTGATCTTACAAAGATTAAGGTATAATATTACTCAGTGGCCACAAGGTCAGGCTGTGCAGTAGTTTTTATGAAACAGTCAGCCAAACTATTACAATCAATGTTATGGCCAGCAGTTAGGATACTGCCTAGTTGCATCATCTCTCAAGATAAGTTTTATAATACTGTTCTACCTCAATCTCCAAAATCTAATCTATAATACATATAGTCCCTTGTGTCTTTGAGACATCGCAAAGCACTTCACAGAATATATTGTAAAGTGAATGGACTGTATATTTTGTGGGCAAAACGTGGCAGCCTCAAACAGCAGTGTCCCACAAACAGTTGTGGATTGAGTGACTAATTTATTATTATTTTTGTTGAAGGAATTGATCCCTGGAAAAGCAATCTGCCAATCGACTACTAACCTAATTTCTACTTACTGCTAGGTAAACAGAGGCATGTGGAGTAAGGAAACTTTCCCAATGTTTTGCCCTGCTGGGAATCCGACCTAGGTCTCTTGCTTGCAAGACGAGTGCTCTAACCACTGAGCTACTCCACAGTATAGGGCAATTAGGATCTTAGACTTGTGAACTGGCAATTAACACCAGTTTACTACATGGATAAAGATGATTGCATATGAACTCCCATGAAATTGGAGCTCTTAGCAAGCAGTTACTTACTGTCATAACACCCATCAGTCACAAGTTGCATTCAAAAATACTTAAGGTCAGCACTGCGTTTGAACATTTCAATGATTTTATGTAAGCTGGATGAGGACTTACAGAGTTGGAAGCAGGATGAGCACCCCTTCAATATTAACTACAAGAGCTAATATTCGCCATGATCGAATGAAGTATCCCACTAGCGCATAAAGAGATATTCCAATTGCAAAAGAGAAGCTCTGCAGTGACCCTAGGAGGAAGTACAACCATTATAACTAGCAAAAGAATTGAGCACAAATAGTTTCAGGTATCAAATTTGAATGAATGGCAATTTTATTGCAATTTCATCTCAAATGTCGTTTATGGATAGATGACTTTCATCTTGGATACTTCAGAAGGCAATTCAGTACCTGATGCAGACTCCCAACATTCCTGGACAGCAAGATGAGAGTAGTTAGAACACCTGCTCTCAACCTATACCTTGCAGAAGATACAGACCAAGATAATAATAATAATAATAATCCCTGCAAAACTAAAAACAATAATAAATTGGTCATTTTCAATCTACGACTGTTTGTGGGACATTGCTGTGCGCAATTGGCTGCCGCGTTTGCCCACAAATATACAGTCAATTCACTTTACAGTGTACTCTGTGAAGCGCTTTGGGACGTCCTCCCGACGTGAAAAGCGCTATATCAAATGCAAGGATTATTATTATTATAAGATGAATGTGCCTATGGTGAAGTACTACAGCCTCACATCTAAGCCAGTCAGGAGGTTATTCAGCCCATCCTGCAAATTTATTAAATCATGGTAATCTTTTAGTCCCATTTCCCAGATATTGTAACACCCTTATTTGTCAAGGCTTCTCTAACCTTCTGTGCAGTGCATAAGATCACTGTGCAACCATGATTTAAAGACTTGCCCACCCAAATCAAGAAGGCTACTAATGCCAGTAATCCATCATATTACTGCCAAGGTGAAAACAGGGGAGCGTGAAAAAGATTTTTCTTCATTAGGATGCAGTTTCGCCCAGGTTATTTAACACCACAGACATTGGCAGATGTAGGTGACCAACTTTGCAGAGAGGGGAAGAGCATATGCACGATACCCAAGAAGCATCAATGTTGATATCTTACCAGTCAGGGCCCAATAGGAAACACCAACATACTCCTGGAGCAGGACAAATGACACCAAGGACATTCCTCCATTCATCACACCAACAAAGAATCGGCAAGTGGCAAAGATCTCGTATGAAGGAGCAACTGCACTGACAATCCCAAAGACCACATCAAGAATAAGACCTAGGGCAACATTGTATCAGATGCTGAGTGCTTTGTATGAATTATCAGCCATTGTAAGTAGATACATAGATGCATCTTATTCATACTACTTGAAACTGACAAGTCACATTTACACATTTCACTTCAAAGTGAAACTTTACACATTAAAAAGGTGAATTAACACGCATCGGTGCCAACTTCTGAAACTATGTAAAATAGGACACCAGGATACAAGTGCTTCTGTTGTAGACTGAAATAATCCCATGTTATTTTAGCTTCTGCATTTATTCTATAAACATTCAATAGCATTAGTATTTCTCAACCATCCCTGAAGTGTATTTTCCACATATATCTTAATAATAATAATTATTATACGTCTTCAGTTGGATTGTGACATCTTCTAGTCTTTAAATAAAATGAAATTCAGAATTTGCACTTGGATTTATTCCATTTGTTTTTTTTATAAAAAGTTATAGCACATCTTCACCATAGCAAGACAACTTAGTTTAAGCTAAACAAGGTGTAGCTCAGTCAGCATAATTGCATACTGAAAGTATATAACAAATTTGACAACTTAACGTTCAATTTAAATTTCTACCATAAAGGACAAGGGAGCAGGTGAAACAATCTTCAACTGCCCCTTCCTGTATACAACTGCCCACCAAAGCTAGTTAGCTTCTGCTTAAAAGAATCTTGAGCAAATATTTCATACTGTTCTTTGATTAAAAATTGTCTGGCTCAAAGTAACAGGTCATCATTGCTAATAGAGGATGGCTGATAAGTACTCATATTAACACCAATTAACACTTTAATTTGACTTGATTAAAAAATGCACTCAAATAGAAACCAAGCTGTACAAGTTATACCTGCCAAGTAGAGTTTCTTTCTTCCAAATTGATCGGAGAGTTGGCCGAAAAGGACACCACCAACCAGGACACCAAAGAAATACAATGAGCTTGCCAAACTGACTTTGTACATAGCATCTCCAATCAAGAACCACTGTGAGTTTAAAAAAAAATTCAACAATATTTAAAATACAATTTGATTGATTTGAATTGAGTGCTAGCACCGCACTGTCCACTTTGTTTATGTACTATACTAATGGGATCCTGTTCTGTAAACAATCACTCAATATGAAGGGGTAAATGGTTTAGATTAACATTTAAATTGTTAAATTCATTCAGTCTTAGTGGAATTTCCACACATTAGTTTTTACCCACCTCAGATACAACAGATGAGAAACGATGGTCAAAGTGGACATGCCTTTGAACTTCACTCTCATTAGTCACATGAAGCCACTCTCTAAACTCACTGTCATTGGCTGCATTGCTCTGGCTCCAATTAGATGAAGGAATGGTTGCAAAGTCCCAGTGGTATGGTGGAATTGCTCCTACTATAGTCATGAAGATGGCCTGAGTAGCAACAAAAAACTGAAAAAAAACATAGTCAGTGGATCAGTTTTTGTACATGACCCACATAAAACCAGGCCCATTAAACGATTGATTATGATCTCAGCAAATACATTCTCCTGAGAGAATAGCAACAAAGTTGACATTCACTACACGGGACCTTTGTATTATTACAAGCACACCTGTCCTCTTTTTATTCTTTTGATTGAAATACGCGATGGTGAAAAAGAGCAGAGAGCTGAGAGTGGAGTGAGGTGGGAATAGAGCAAAGACTTCTGGAGCAGGAATTTGGTGAGTAAGAATTTGGTGACGGCATCATCGAATTTCCAGCAAACTTTCTTCAGCTGATTAATACGACGGGGGTGATCCTGCTCGGCTCCGGTCAGTACCGCCATACCTCAGGCGCTGACAAGCATCACTGTTCATGGATGCACTCATTCACTTCACAGAGCTGGTACAAAATCTGGGTGTTCTGTTCAGCCCTCAGGTGTACTTCAAACCCAGCATTCATGTCATGACCCATTCTGGCATGCGTACAAGAGCCAACTCAAGCAGAGAGCGCAGTGGAGCAGACTGAGGCGGGAATAGAGTGAGACTTCTAGTGCAGGAATTTGGTAAGTGTGCATTGTTCTCTTCCCCCTTTTCTTAAAAAAAACTTTACTCAGTTTTTTTAACTAAACAATAGCAAACCAGTTAATAGTTAGTTGTAGGTCAATTGGAAATGGGTCATTGGCCAGGTGCTAATTGTTATGGGACCAGTTAAAACTATCTTATTTTCAGGTCTCTGCTGAAGACCTTTCTTTTCGACCGCACCTTTGGTCACCTTCCTCCCCCTGACTCGGTCCCAGGATCCGTTACTGTGAAGCGTTCTGAGACGCCATCTGGCGTGGAGGGCGCTATATAAATCCAAGTTGTTGTTGTCTCTGCCTGAAGGCATACTTGCAAGACCTTAACTCAAGCAGAGAGCTCAGGAGAGTATTCTGTACCTGTTCTACCTCCCCCACAACTACATTCCTCCCAAGCTGCTGAGACCCCTCATTCACACATTCATCACATCCTGGCTCAATTAAGCAAACTCTCTGCTTATCCAGAATCTCTGCAACTGGTCTTCTATCCTGCTCTAGGAGTAGCGCACTACAAAAGTTGCATTCTTGAGAACTCAAGTTCAAAATAGACATGATAAGCACAACTAAAGTGTTAACACTAAAGCACGGGAGTAGATTTCCAGTCAATGCATTTGGTTATTACAATAATACATGTTGCACTGTTTGAAGTGAAAAGCATGAAACAAAGGCCATCCATTTAGCGATGCCACGATTACGGATAAAGCAATGCTGCCACCGAGACTCCCCTATCCAACAGGAAGGCCAGTTAGACACTGCCTTAAGCGGCAAGCACATCTTAACGCCCATTGCTGCTCTGAATGCATTCCTAACTAGACTGGTTTCAGCAAGCCTGAGGCAAACGTGCCTTGAGCAGCTGACCTGCCAGTGCCGGGGTGAGTGCAAGAGCCGGTTACTCGTTAACGTTGAGCATCATTGGCAATAAGAGTGTACATCTGCAGCTCGTTCTCGGCAGCTGCGCCGACTCTGGGCTGCCCCAAGCCGAGCATCTCGCCCTGGCCAAACGTAACCATCTTTAATAACGTCGAGAGCCGACAATTTAGCAGCCAGTGAGCAACACAACCCCAACCTTAATGCACCCGCCAAGGAGGACCACCAAGGGCAGACTTAAGTCCAGCCTCACCCAGTGCTCGGTGGTGGTGGGGGGAGAAAGAGAGAGAGAGAAGGGTTTAGTAGAACTCCTCCAAAAAGTTTAGAGCTTTTAAGTGCAGTTAAAACCCAAAGGGGGAAAAAAAAACACAAACCACATTAACAATTGGTTAATTTCTTGTCGAGTCACTCCCTCCCTTGACTGGCTGGCAACACCCCAGCTGGCACCTCGCCCAGGCTGGCACCGCCCACCCCGGCCGGCCGGCTGGCACCCCCCACCCCATGGCCGGCCGGCAGGCACCCACCCCATGGCCGGCCGGCTGGCACCCCCCCCATGGCCGGCCGGCTGGCACCCCCCCCATGGCCGGCCGGCTGGCACCCCCCCCATGGCCGGCCGGCTGGCTGGCACCCCCCCCATGGCCGGCCGGCCGGCTGGCACCCCCCATGGCCGGCCGGCCGGCTGGCACCCCCCCCATGGCCGGCCGGCCGGCTGGCACCCCCCCATGGCCGGCCGGCCGGCTGGCACCCCCCCCATGGCCGGCCGGCCGGCTGGCACCCCCCCATGGCCGGCCGGCCGGCTGGCACCCCCCCATGGCCGGCCGGCTGGCTGGCACCCCCCCCATGGCCGGCCGGCTGGCACCCCCCCCATGGCCGGCCGGCTGGCACCCCCCCCCATGGCCGGCCGGCTGGCACCCCCCCCCACCCCCCCCCCATGGCTGGCACCCCCCCCCCCCATGGCTGGCACCCCCCCCCCATGGCTGGCACCCCCCCCCCATGGCTGGCACCCCCCCCATGGCTGGCACCCCCCCCCCATGGCTGGCTGGGCACCCCCCCCCATGGCTGGCACCCCCCCCCATGGCTGGCACCCCCCCCCCATGGCTGGCACCCCCCCCCCCCCTCAGGGGGAGTCCACTCACCTGTAAGACAGTCAACAAGAAGCACAGGTAGATCTGGTATCTGCCCATCTCGCCCACCGACCTGAAAGCCTCCTCCAGCCCCATGTCGGCGGCCGCTCGGTTCGGGATCGAGCGAGGAAGCGAAGCAACAGAGAGGGGGGAAAGGAGAGAAGGAGAGAAAAGAGAGGGGGAAGGAGAGAAAAGAGAGAGAGATGGGGGGGGGGGGAAAGGAGGAGCTGGAGGTTGGTGTCTGGGAGAGAGTGGGGAAGGCTTCACACTTTACAGCAATGTGCACAGCTCCACATCACCAGAGCCACAGCCAACCCCCCACCGCACAGCCTCCCTCCCTCTCTCTTTTTTCCTTCCTTCCTTCCTTCTCTCTCCTTCTCCTTCTCCCTCTCCCTCTCTCTCTCTCTCTCCACAACAGGACGGGCGCCAACGATCCTGGGAGGCGATGTGCAAAGCAGCTCCGGTTCTTGTTGCCCTCCTCCTCCTCCTCGGCCCTCTGGTTTCACACACAGCGACCCCGGGCTCGGCTGTGGAGCTGAAACTTTGACTGGCGATGGGCACTCCTCCTCCTCCTCCTCCTTCTTCTCCTCCTCCTCCTCCACTCCCTGCAACACACCACGTCAGCTGCCTCCCTCGCCTGTTGCTCTGCCTTTATTTATGGTGGCGCCTGCGTCCTACCATTTACCTTTCCTCCCTCCAGTGTCCTCCTGACCCCACCCTACACCTCCCCCCCCCCCCCTACACCTCCCCCCCCCCCCCCCCCCCCACACACACACCCACCCACACACACACACACCCCCTCGTGCATTTACAACACTCACGTGCGTCTTCTCTCCATTTGGATTGGGATTGCTCCTGAATTTTCGACTCAGCTCTTTCCTATTCTCCAACACAACCCCTTTTCTCTCTCTCTCTCTCTCTCTCCCTCCCTCGCCCGCTCCGCCCCGCTCTGCCCGCCCGCCCGGTTTTTGCCTCAATCCCTCCAAGGCTTCCAGGACGCTCTCCCCCCCCCCACCCACCCACCCACCCACCCACCACCAGCACCACCACCACCACCGGGCGTGAAGGGCGGCTGTATATGAGTGTCGTCGTTCCCTTTGCCCGTCTTCAGATCGCAACCGAGGACCTTCCTTTCCGACGGTGCTTCACGGCCGCTTCCGCTCTCGCCGCAGCTCGGCGTCGAAATTCTGCCTGTTGGGCGCTCTGAGATGCTCCCCCAATCTCCCCCCCACCCCGTCCCTCCTCCGCGTGAAGGGCGCAATATAAATGCATGGTGTTTTTTTTTAAATCAACCGGGTGGCTGACACACGCAGAAACCCATCGTGTTGCTTAAGAGTATCCAAGCCACTCAAACTACTAACAATGCGAGGTTGCTAACCCTTTTTACGTCCCTTATGGTTCTCATTCCTTTCAGGAAGGACACAACACAACACAATACAATACGAAATTACATCTATGTCGGGAGGACCTCCCAGGGCACTGGACAGCAATGGATTTGGAGCTGAGCTGGCGTTCGGGATCGGGGAGGGTTGGGGGCAGAGAGGATGGCCAAAGGCTCGGTCAAAGAGGAGAGTTTTGAGACACACCTTGAAGGGAGGCAAGGGAGGGAGCAAGGGGAAGGGACTGTGGGATGGAGTTCCAAAAGGTGGGGGCAGAAAGGCTGAAGGCCCGACCGCCGATGGTGGGACGGGCCAGGCGGGGGACGTGGAGGAGGCCACAGCCTGCTGAGCGGAGAGAGCGGACAGGTTGATATGGGGTCAGCAGGTCACGGAGGTAGGGAGGAGCAAGGCCGTGGAGGGCCTTGAAGGCCAGGATAAGGATTTGAACTCTATCCTCTGAGGGATGGAGAGCCAGTAGAGGGCGGTAGTGATGGGGTCACAGAGCCTGGTGTGGGAGGGGACACAGAGCTCTGGATGATGAGGCAGTGGTGGAGAAGGGATAGGTTTTCGGCAGTGGTGACGTCATGATCAGAGAACCTGCAAACTCGATTGAATACTCGTTTGAATGGAAACTGAATGTCTGTTACAATGTTGGCTTTGTGTTTTGCATGATATTGTTTCAGTCATTTACACCCCACAGGTAGCAAGAACTGTTAACAGCCTGATTTACACATACACCGAGGCCCTCCTGCTTGGCTCCCGCCAGTGTCTCCATACCTTGGGTGCTGACAGCATCACCTTTCGTGGACGCACTCTACACCTCCTGAAGCTAATACGGAACCTCAGGGTCCTGTTCGACCCTCAACTGTTCTTCATCTGCCACATCCGTGCCATGATCCTCCGCCACTTCCTCTCCTCTCACCTCAACCTTCAAGATTCTGTCTTTGGTTCAGATCCTATCTCTCACACCGGCTCCACGTTGTCTCCACAAATGGCTTCCCCTCCAGCCTCTGCATCATCTCGTGTGGTGTTCCTCAGGCCTCTGTCGTCCTCTTCAACCTCTACATGCTCCCACTTGGTGACATCATCCGCAAACATGGCGCCAACTTCCACAAGTATGCTGATGGTACCCAACTCTATCTCTCTGCCTCCTCCCTTGACTCCAGGACCATCGATGTCCTGATAGACTGTCTGTCTGTCATCAAGCCCTGGATGAGAGATAACTTTCTTCAGTTGAACGTCAGCAACACCGAGACCTCCTGATTGCCTCTCGCCAGCGCCTCTGTATCTCAGGCATTGGCAGCATCAGCATCCATGGATGACTCCCAAAACCACCCCCTAACTGGGATAAGGTGCTAAAGGTGATATACTGTGATGGATCTTGTCAGAAAGCGAACAGAGTCAAATCAGCAGAAGCAGGGATTGTGATCAACAGGATTGTTAGCAGGTGTTTTGAAGAACAATCTGCCCACTCGGTGACTCTACAATGTCAGTCTGCTCAGAAACCAGAAGTGCTCCCCCTAAAAGAGGCCTTAAAGCATGTTTATACATGTGAGGAGACTGTAATTGTTACTGACTCACTGTATGTCTTGTTAGCGAATGAGACGTACTTAGATCTATGGAGCCAAAATGGCTGGACAGATCACAAGAGAAAGACCCTGGTTCATGGTGATATATGGAAAGAAATTTGGCAAATGAAGCAGATACCCCAAAGTGAGAGTAATACATACTATGGGGCATCAAACTATGGATATCCAGGCAAGAGGAAATGAGCGAGCTGATGTGTTGGCCAAAGCTGCCTGCTATGGGGTTAAAACCAAGCCGTAAGTCTCCGGCAAGGCAAGGTGGCCTATGCATGGATTATGAGCTTAAAAGGGTGCATCAATTGTACTTCACCAACCCCAAATAATTACCTCCCTGTTGGCAACAGAAGGCGCCTGCCAGGGCCCCGTGGTTGGTTTGGGGGTCCCCCAAAGTTGGGGAAAAGATAATACCTGAAGGTTGCAGAAATGAAATTGATATTAATCAGGATTAGTTAATGCTATGTGAAAATGTCTGACTGATTTGTTATTCTTTTATGTGCTCTGTTTATTGGCACATATGTTGGGATGTTTGATGTATTTTGTCCAGATCATTGCCCAGTGGCTAAAGTGCATCTTGAATATCACAGTTTTGGTTGCTTTTGTTTTTGCCATATATGCTGCTTGTGGTAGAAAGGGATGTGATACAGTTGATGAACTACTCGCTATGTTTCCAACTCACCAAGAGGGGGAAACGTGGCGGTGGTGACGTCATAACCAGGAAACCTGCAAATTCGATTGAATACTCGTTTGAATGGAGACTGAATGTGTGTTAGAATGCTGCCTTTGTGTTTGCAATGATATTGTTTTGGATAAGGCACGATATCAAATGCAAGGATTATTATTATTTACTCCCCACAGGTAGCAGGAACTGTTCAATGATGTTGTTGCTGTCTGAAGGAGGCCTGATTCGCATGAAAACTCATTGTAATAAAATAATAATAATCCTTGCATTTGATATGGTGCCTTATCATGTCTTTGAGACGTCTCAAAGTGGTTCACAGAATATACTGTAAAGTGAATTGACTGTATATTTTGTGGGTGAATCGTGACAGCCAATTGCACACAGCAGTGTCCCACAAACAGTCGTGGATTGAAGTGACCGATTTTTTTTAAGGAATTAATACACCCAGAAAAGCAATCCGCCAATCGACTAACAACCAGGTTCCTACTTAGAGGGACTTGTAACAAACAAGTGGGTCAGCTCACTCCTTTGTATAAAATATGAACCTCTGTGACAATATAATATTGTGTATTTACATTTCACAGTAGATGTTGTGAATTACTTGGAGACCTCCTCCAGTGGTGGAAGGCATTATATTAAATGTAAGGATTTTATTACTATTATTTGTTTACTGTAAATTCTGTATGTATGAGTAACTATGTGTAAGAAGGAAAAATGAAAAATTAAGATTTTCAGAGAAGCAGTAAGAATAAATCTGAAAAATAGAAAGAAGTTACGAATAATATTCACCTCGGCAATTTGCCCCTTATTTCGTTTCAGGCAGAAGTGGTTTTGTTATGTTTATAGCATGCCTGAAATGTTAGCTGCATAAGAATTTTCACTGTCTAAAAGTAGTCAAAACTATTGCCGTCTGTTGCCATATCCAGTAAGATTGGACCGATTACCCAAAGTAAATATGGCTGGATTGTTATTTATTCATTACCCTCTAGGTGGAGCTAAAGTTCTGAGCCACTCTCCTGCACTTTGTACAGGAGGCAAAACAAGATTGGACTTTGAGCACATGTCAAAATGTTTGGAGGAAATGTTTCTGTTCAAAGGAAGTATAATCTTACTGAAGAGCAAACTATAGTGCAGCTTTAAAAAATAACAAATAGTAATGATCAAGGCTTATTTATTTGCAGTGTATCGTTGCATTTGATACAGCGCCTTGTCAAGTCAAAACATGCTTCATTGAGTTTTCTGTAAAGGATATTTGTGACTGTCTATTTGTGCACAAACTTGGGCAGATGATTTGTGCACAGCAATGTCCTACAAACAACCAGGAAGTAATTGATCAATTTGATCAATGTTGTCCAGGACACCAGGAGAAACTCCCTTCTGCTTTTGAATAGGGCCATGAGATCTTTATCGTCCATCTGAACAGGCAGGACAGAACCTGGGTTTAATGTCTCATCCAAAGGATGCCATCTCTGACAATGCAACGATTCCCTA